TATGTATCTAAGAGTGGAATTACTGGGTGGCCATAGCCTTTTTATTTTTCTTTTATATCAGTTAATTCCTTATTTCTGCTTCCCTTAGATTTAATTCTTTTTTTTCTAATTTCTTGAAAGTTTAATTCATTTATTTTGTTCTTTATTCTTAATTAATAAAGACTGGATTCTTCTGTAGTCGTTTTTTTAAAATTTATCTTGTAGTTTCTGATACATATTATTATTTCCCAGACACTCTAAAATTTCAATTTGGGTTTTCTCTTTGACCAAGCAATTTTTTTTTTTTTATTGTACTTCAGGTGAAGGTTTACAGAACAAATAGTTTCTCATTAAACAGTAGTACACATATTGTTTTATGACATTGGTTAACAACCCCACATCATGTCAACCCTTTCCCTTCCGGACCTTTTTTTTTTTTCTGGTGAAAATATACGTAGCCAAAGATACACCATTTCAAAAATTTCTACATGTGCAGTTCAGTGCCATCCACTGTACTCTTCCAATTCTGCTGCGATTCTTACTTTAGATGAAGGTTTACAGAACAAAATAGTTTCTCATTAAACAGTACACATGTTGCCCTATGACAATGGTTAACAACCTCACTACACATCAACACTGTCCTTATGCAACCTTGGGTTCCCTATCACCAGCTTCTCTGTCCCCTTCTGCCTTCTAGCCCTTGTCCCTGGACTGCTGTGCCTCATTAGTCCTGTTTTGTTTTATGGGGCTGTCCAGTCCTCGGCTGAACGGTGAACCTTGGAAGTGACTTCACCACTGAGCTAAAAGGGTGTCTGGGGGCCATACTCTAGGGGTTTCTCCAGTCTCCTTTAGGCAAGTAAATCTGGTCTTTTTTTGTGTGTGTTAGAATTTTGTTCTACATTCTTCTCCAGTTCTGTCCAGAACCCTCTGTTGTGATCTGTGACCAAACAATTTTTTAAAAATTAAAAATTTTTCCACATAGTAGGATTTTTTTTGTTTGTTTTTAAGGCTTTTTTAAAATTTTTATCCTATTTTGATCAGAGAATATTGTTTCTACCATTTTTACTAGGTGGACTGTATTAAAGTTTTGTTCTAATTTTCTGGATGTTCTAAGGGCATTTGAGAATAAAATCTGTTCTGTGCTCTCAGGACAGTTATATCTAACTTATTAATCCGGTTACTTAGTTCTTCTATATGTATTTGTAAACTTCTTTATCTGTTATGGACTAAGAAAAGTGAATTAGGGTCTCCTACTTCTAATACAGAGCCCTGGTGGTGCAGTGGTTCAGAACTTGGCTGCTAACCAAAAGGTTGGCAGTTCAAATCTACCAGCTGCTCCTTGGAAACCCTATGGGGCAATTCTGCTCTGTCCTATAGGGTCACTATGAGTTGGAATCAACTTGACTGCAACAGGTTTGATTTTTTGTTACCTCTAATGCATTTCTCTTTGTTTCTGTTTATATATTCCTTATAGTTTTTGCTTAATGAATATTTGTGCTGCTTTATTTATAGAGATTTATGACTGTAGGGTCTTCGTTGTGGATTGTACAATGGATTTTATTATTATAAAGAGCCTTTTGGGGACCATATTTAATGCTTTCCCTCACCCCCCAACCCAAATGCTACCCTAGTCTGTTATGAGATTGTGACTTCATTTTTTTTTTTAACTTGTGTTTGACCATCTTTTATTTTCAACTTGTTTGATGCTTTCTGTTTTCTGAGCATGTTTTTCTTTCAGTAGGTAAACTTAGCCCATTGACATTTTATAGATTTGACTTAGTTCCATATCAGATTGTATGGTCTACTTTCTGTTTTTAAGAATTCATTTGCTTTGTATCTTTCTTTAGAGGGCTTTTTTTTTTTTTTTTTTTTTTGCTTTTTGTTTATTTTTTCATGTTCCTTCTGATACCTTAGGAAAGTTATATCTGTTTTTAGTTCTTCTAGTAGTTACCTTTATAGCTATTACTCTAAAAAATGTACTTCAGCCTCCATTTCTTTAGAACATATCTATTTATTACCCACTATTAGGAATGGAAGGAAACTCTGGTGGCATAGTGGTTAAGAGCTATGGCCGCTAACCAAAGGTCAGCAGTTCAAATCCACCAGGCACTCCTTGGAAACCCTACAGGGCAGTTCTACTCTGTCCTATAGGTTGGCTATGAGTTGGAATTGACTCTGGCAATGGGTTTGGTTTTGGTTTTTATTAGGACTAGAAAGGGGTTCTGGTGGTGCATGGTCAAGTGCTTGGCTGCTCACCAAAAGGTCGGTGGTTCCAATCAACCAGCTGCTCCACAGGAGAAAGATGTGGCAGTCTGCTTCCGTAAAGATTTACAGCCTTGGAAACCCTATGGCACAGTTCTGCTCTGTCCTGTAGGGTTGCAATGAGTCAGAACTGACTCAACGGCAACAGGGTTTTTTGTTATTGTTGTTAATAAGGAACCTAATGACAAAGTTACTGTACTTCCAGCCATCCCATGTCCTTTGCCCCACCTAATTTTAATCAATTATATTATTATTGTTAGTTCTTCTAATGATTCTCTCTATATCTTTAAATATACTTCTATCTCTGTTAACTTAATTTTAAGATGTAAAATTATCTTTTGACCTCACCACCCACTGCCTTCTCACACCTCCCCTTCTTGATTTTTTTAAATTTTATTACTTTTACTGCCAAAGTTTAGTGTAACATCAGTGTAACACTGATGTTGTGAACAATATCGAATAGTAATTAGGAGCATGGGCTCTGGAGCCAGAATGCCTGGGTGGGAATCCTGGCTTTATCATCTTGTAGCTGTGTGACCTTGAGCAAGTTACTTAAAAGATATTTCCTTTTCCTTATGTTACATATCATAGCAGTGGGCTCTACCTGAAGGATTGTTGTGATAATAATAAATGTATAACACTGGGATAGTGTCACACATAGTGAATATCCAGTAAATATCAGATATTGTATTAACAATCATTATAAATCCTCTTTCCAGGGTTGCTTTCATCTAGACCTTCATTTTAATTGACTTCCAGGTTCAATTTCTCAGTTCATCTTTTGGTTGGCCGAAATTCATTCTCTAATAATTTATTTCATGAGATGCTGATGAGAATTGTATTTTCTGATCCTTACATGTTCAAAAACATTTAATGACTTGAAAGAAAGTTTGGCTACATACAATAATAATAGCTGTTATTGAACACTTGTTAAGTCACAGGTGATCTGTATTTATTATCTCATTTCATCCTCATAATAATGCTATAAATTAAGTACTCTTAACATCCTCTTGTACAGGTGACAGGATTGGGGCGTAGACAAGGCACACTTTTCTTTCCCTGGCAACACAGCACTGTTGTCTACACTGAATGTGGCTGTGGAGAAATCTGAGGCCAGTCTAATTTGTTTCCCCTTAAAGATGTCTCAATCTTTTTGCCTAGATGCACAAAGAATTTATTTTTGAAGTTCAGTAAACTTCAGTGGGATATGTCACAGGGATTATTCTATGTCAGTTTTTCTTGTGACATGTGCGTTTTTGATCTGCAGATTCAAATGTTCTTTTATTATATGAAGTTTTTTAGAATTCTGCTTTGAATATTTTTTTCTGTTCCACTTGTTCAGTTCTCCCTCATATGAATATGCTGGATATCCTTTCTCTTTTTGTAGCTTTACCTCAAAGTCTTTCTAATTCTTTTCAAATTTCTGTTTCATTTAGCTTACTTTTCTCAACTAGCCCTCGTTTATTTTTCTGTGTTTTGTCCTTGTCTGATGTATCTATATATAGATGTGGCTTTCGTTTCTGTGATTTTTTCCTCCTTTTCTGAGTTCTGATAGCTTTCTTTTTTTCATTTCCTTCTGTTATCTCGCCATTACTGCTGCTTTGGTGTTGTATTTCAGTGTGTTTTCATTAAGCCCTTTGAATTCATAGCAATATATTTTGTCTGTTTTATGACAGCATTTTCCATTATCTGCCATTTGCTTAATTTGTCATTTGCTTTTACTATCCCTTTCCTCCTTTTTCTTGTAGATTTGGTATCTAGATCTCATGCATATTTTCATCAGGGTGAAACGAGTTCTTCCTCAACCAGCTATTGATAGGTAGCCGCTAGGGTAGCGAACTGAGCTAGCAGTGAAGCTGCTTGTGGCACAGAGGTGTGTGTGTGTGAGAGAGAGAAGGTGAGACAGACAGAGACACACATACAGATTAGTTTAGCCGGTACATCTCCCCAGCAACTATTGGGCTGATCATAACGTGGAGTGTTCTCAGTCCCTATTTAATAAACAGACTGCCTCTATCAAAGGTAATGTTTTTAAGGATTTTATTTATCATTCAGCCCTGCCAGCCCTGCTACTTCATGATGCCAAATAGAGACCTGGGAAGTTCACACAGACAGCTTGTGCCCCTTAAACCTTCATTGCAAATAGGGCAATGGTTCTGCTTCTCAGACGTACCACCTACTTGATGCCCTTCCAAATTTGTCTGAGAACTGAGGCCACCAAAAGTATTTAATCTCAGCACACTCCTGGGCTCTGTTGTAATATTCACTGATTTGACAGGCCATCCTCATTTATTGTGCCTTAGGGTTATATTGGTGCCTTATTATTTCACTGATACCTTATTTTCTTTCTTGTTTCGGGGTGATCTCAAGGATGACAAGATGACAGAGGTTAACTTTCTTTTGTTTTTTAAAAAATAAATTTTGTTTTTATTTTATTTTTAAAATCAGAGCATTTTTAAAAATAGGATGCCTGTATTCTTGACGAATGAGGTACCATACAACTTCAGACCATGTTAAGTGCAAAAAATAGTTTCAAAATTCTATGCATACCCCAGTAGGAGTGAGCTCTTTCATCACCGTACAGCTAGTAAGTAACAGAGCTTGAATTCAAATCCAGGTCTGTTCAAATCCAAAGCATGAGTTCTTTTCATCATGCAGCTTTCTCTTAAAGATTACAGATATCTCTTTATGGTGTCTTTATTATGTTTCTTCTTATGAACATTTTTATGTTAACAACCTTTTTATTTTCTGTTTTTTAGTGTGACAAGTACAAAACTGGAGTTATCGATGGGCCTGCATGCAACAGCCTTTGTGTTACAGAAACTCTTTACTTTGGAAAATGCTTATCAACCAAGCCCAACAATCAGGTATGAACACTATGCGTAATCCTTCCAAGTTGACAGTGCTCTCTTCGTTTCACATTAAACTAAAGTCATATTAAAAGAATTCTTGAATCAGAGCTTTGTGTTGTCGTTGTTGTTAGGTGCCGTTGAGTCGGTTCCAACTCATAGCAACCCTGTGTACAACAGAACGAAACACTGCCTGGTCCTGCACCATCAACACAGTCGTCGTTATGCTTGAGCCCATTGTTGCAGCCCATGTCAGTCCATCTCATTGAGGGTCTTCCTCTTCTTCGATGACCCTCTACTTTACCAAGCATGATGTCCTTCTCCAGGGACTGATCCCTCCTGATAACACGTCCAAATAATGTGAGACGTAATCTCACCATCCTTGCTTCTAAAGGAGCATTCTGGCTGTGCTTCTTCCAAGACAGATTTGTTCATTCTTTTGGCAGTCCATGGTATATTCAATATTCTTTGCCAACACTGCAGTTCAAAGGCATCAATTCTTTGGTCTTCCTTATTCATCGTCCAGCTTTCACATGCATATGAGGTGATTGGAAGCACCATGGCTTAGGTCAGACGCACCTTAGTCTTCAAGGTGACATCTTTGCTTTTTAACACTTGAAAGAGGTCTTTTGCAGCAGATTTGCCCAGTGCAATGCGTCTTTTGATTTCCTGACTGCTGCTTCCATGGGTGTTGATTGTGGATTCAAGTAAAATGACATCTTTGACAACTTTAATCTTTTCTCCATTTATATATATTTATATATATATATTTCAATACCACTTTATTGTGATTTAGGTGAAAGTTTACAGAACAAATTAGTTTCCCATTCAACAATTTACATACAGCTTGTTTCGTGACATTGGTTCTAATCCCCTCAGTGTGCCAGCATTCTCCCCCCACTTCCTCCCTAGGTTCCGTGTTTCCACTAGCCGATCTTTCCTGCCCCTACTTGCCTTCTGAACTTTGCTTTTGGGCAAATGGTGCCCTTTTGGTCCTGTATAGTTGATCGTTCTGAGATGCAGTTTCCTCTCGGGTATTATTGTTCACTTCATAGGACTGTCTGTTATTTGATTATAATGTGATCTCTGGGAGTGGGTTCAGTTCCAAGTTTGAAGGTGGCTAAGGGCCATAGTCTTGGGGGTTCTAGTAGGCTCTATCAGACCAGTAAGTTAGGTCTTATTTACTAGTTTGAATTTTGTTCTACATTTTTGTCCCACTCTGTCCAGGACTTTCTGTTACGTTCCTGGTCAGAGCAGTAGGTAGTGGTAGCTGGGCACCATCTAGTTTTTCTGGTCAGAATAGTGGAGGCTCTGTGGTTCATGTGGTCCATTAGTCCTTTGGACTGATTGTTTCTTTGAGTCTTTGGTTTTCTTCACTCTCTTCTTCGTATGGGAAGAGACCAATTGTTGTATCTTAGATGGCTGCTTGCAAGCTTTTAAGACCCCACTTGCTGCTCACCATGGTAGGATGTAGAACCTTGTCTTTATGGGCTATGTTATACAAATTGTCCTGGATGTCCCCTGAGGCTGTGGTCCTAAACTCTAAACTCCAGTGATTCAATCCTGTGAGGTGTTTGGTTATGGCTAATAAGTTTTCATTACTTGTGCCCCCTGTGTGCTCTGTTGTATACATGAATATGTTTGCAGTACATATAGATATGAATGTAGAAATGTCTCTTGCCTAACTTATACATGTTCATGGGTATACTCCTCTGCGCCATCCTACACCCGTTCAGCTTACATATCTACTTATGAATCCACTCAGAAATTGTTTGTTATTTCTGTCGTTTGCTTGCTGAAAGTGAAGAGGACTTGAAGCACTTACTGATAAAGATCAAAGACCATGGCCTTCAGTATGGATTACACTACAGCATAAAGAAAACAAAAGTCCTCACAACTGGACCAATAAGCAACATCATGATAAATGGAGAAAAGATTGAAGTTGTCAAGGACTTCATTTTACTTGGGTCCACAATCAATACCCATGGAAGCAGCAGTCAGGAAATCAAAAGACGCATTGCATTGGGCAAATCTTGCTGCAAAAGACCTCTTTAAAGTGTTGAAAAGCAAAGATGTCACCTTGAAGACTAAGGTGTGCCTGACCCAAGCCTGGTATTTTCAATTGCATCATATGCATGTGAAAGCTGGACATAAGAAAGACCGAAGAACTGACACCCTTGAATTGTGGTGTTGGCGAAGAATATTGAATATACCATGGACTACCAAAAGAACAAACAAATCTGTCTTGGAAGAAGTACAACCAGAATGCTCCTTAGAAGGAAGGTTGGCAAGACGACGTCTTACATACTTTGGACATGTTGTCAGGAGGGATCAGTCCCTTGAGTGATCCTCAACGAGATGGATTGACACAGTGGCTGCAACAGTGGGCTCAAGCATAACAACGATTGTGAGCATGGTGCAGGACCGGGCAGTGTTTTGTTCTGTGGTGCATAGGGTTGCTATGAGTCGGAACCTACTGCAAGATTGTACATGTAACAGTATTTACCAGTGTTGCCTATTACTCTTTTGTACTTCTCAGTGTCTTCGTTTGCCTTGGTGCTGACTTACCCCATATTGTTTATTGTCTTTCCCTTCAGAGTTAGTGTGTGTCTACTATTTAGTGATTTTCTCTCCCTCCCCCTCTTATTCCTGGTAACCATCCAAGAAGGTTTCTTTTTGTATGTAAACCTTTTCTTAACTTTTTATAATAGTGGTCTCATACAATATTTGTCCCTTTGTGACTGACTTATTTCACTCAGCATGATGTCCTCCAGGTTCATCCATGTTGTGAGTTGTTTCACAGATTCATCGTTATTCTTTAATGTCACTTGTATTCCACAGTTTGTTTATCGATTCATCCATTGATGGACACTTAGGTTGTTTCCATCATTTTGCTATTGTGAATAGTGCTGCAGTGAGCATGGGTGTGCATGTGTCTATTGGTGTCGTGGCCCTTATTTCTCTAGGGTATATACCTAGGAGTAGGATTGCTGGATCATATGGTATTTCTATTTCTAGCTTTTAAAGGAAGTGCCATACCATTTTCCACAGTGGTTGTACCGTTTTACAGTCCAACCAGCAGTATATGAGAGTTATAATCTCCCCACGTCCTCACCAGCATTTGTCGTTTTCTGTCTTTTTGATCAGTGCCATTATTGCCAGGGTGAGATGGTATCTCATTGTAGTTTTGATTTGCCTCTATTTTTTCTTCCATGATCTTTATAATTTTAAGTTTTACATTTAGGTCTTTGATCCATCGTGAGTTAATTTTTGTGTATGGTGTTGAGGTATGGATCCTGTTTCATTTTTCTGCAAATGGATATCCAGTTTTGCCAGCATCATTTGTTAAAGACAGTATCTCTTCCCCATTTAATGGATTTCGATCCTTTGCCAAAGATCAACTGTCCATAAGTGGAAAGCTTTACTTCTGGGTTCTCAATTCTGTTCCATTGGTCTGTGTGTCTGTCATTGTACCAGTACCAGGCTGTTTTGACTACTGTGGCTGTATAGTAGATTCTGAGATCGGGAAGTGTGAGGCCACCTACTTTGTTCTTCTGTAGTAATGCTTTGCTTATTCAGGACCTCTTTCCTTCTCATGTAAAGTTGGTGATTAGCTGTTTCATCTTGTTGAAGAATGTTGTTGGAATTTGGATTAAGATTGCATTATATCTGTAGCTCTCTTGGCGTAGTATTGACATTTTTACAATGTTAAGTCTTCTTGTCCATGAGGATGGCATGATTTTCCATTTATGTAGATCTCTTTTGGTTTCTTGCAGTAGTGTTTTGTAGTTTTCTTTCTATAAGTCTCTTACATCCCTGGTTAGATTTATTCCTAAATATTTTATCTTTTGGGAGGTTATTGTAAATGGTATTATTTTCCTGATTTCTTTTTCAGAGTTCTCTTTGTTAGTGTAGAGAAATTGACTGATTTTTGTATGTCGATCTTGTACCCTGCCACTCTGTTAAATCCTTCTGTTAGTTCCAGAATTTCGTGTAGAATCTCTGGGATTTTCTATGTATAGGATCACATCGTCTGCAAATAGGGATAGTTTTACTTTTTCCATACCAATTTGAATGCCTTTTGCTTTCCTTTCTTGGCTTATTGCTCTAGCTAGGACTTCCAGTACGTTATTGAATAAGAGTGGTGATAAAGAGCATCGTTTTCTGGTTCCCATTCTCAAGGGGAATGCTTTCAATCTCTCTCCATTGAGAAAAATGTTGGCTATTGGTTTTATATGTATAAAAAAAAACCAAAAACCTGTTGCCATCTAGTTGATTCTGACTCATAGCGACCCTATAAGACTGAGTAGAACTGCCCCATAGAGTTTTCAAGGAGCAGCTGGTGGATTCAAACTACCGACCTTTTGGTTAGCAGCCATAGCTCTTAACCACTGCACCACCAGGGCTCCTTTGTATATATACCCTTAATTATGTTGAAGAATTTTCCTTCTATTCCTATTTTGCGGAGAGTTTTTATCAGGAATGAGTGTTGGATTTTATCCAATGTCTTTTCTGCATTGATTGATATTATCATGTGGTTTTTTTTCATTTGTTTTGTTTATGTGGTGGATTATGTTGATTGATTTTATAATGTTGAACCATTTTTGCATACCTGGTATGACTCCCACTTGGTTATAATGTATAATTTTTTTTATATGCTGTTGGATTCTATTGGCTAGTATTTTGTTGAGAATTTTTTCGTCTTTATTCATGAGGGATATTGGTCTATACTTTTCTTTTTTAGTGGTGTCTTTGCCTGGCTTTGGTATCAGGGTTATGCTGGCTTCATAGAATATATTTGGGAGTATTTCATCCTTTTCTATATTTTGGAATAGTTTGAGTAGAATTGGTGTCAGCTGTTCACTGAATGTTTGGTAGAATTCTCCTGTGAAGCCATCTGGGCCAGGGCTTTTTTGTTGTTGTTGTTGGGAGTTTTTTTATGACCTCCTCAATTTCTTCTTTTGTTATAGGTCTGTTCAAATTTTCTGCTTCATTTTGTGTTAGTTTAGGTAGGTCAT